TAGTGTATTATATTTGGGTAATGAATAGTTCTTGCAACTGAGCAGTTGATGCTTGAGTGTAGCAAGTAGCAAAAATAGATTGAGCCTGGCTTGGGGATGTCTGCATTCCTCCTCTGCACCACCGCTAACTTTTCTTGCTGATTTTGTATGATGCCTCAGAATCCTTCTCACCACAACTTTTGAAGAAGCCACCACTAATCAGTTGGGGTTGGTACTTGAGATAAAGCCATTTGTCATTCCGGGCTTGGGCCTTAAGTCCCATGATTATGTATTTGTATTTTGTTGGGTTGTTCTTGGGGAATTATTGTATGTTTTTTAAAAAATATGTTTTTATTGATTTTAGAGAGGAAGGGAGAGGGAGAGAGAGATAGACACATCCATATTGAGAATCACTGATTGGCTGCCTCCTGCATGCCCCCTACTGGGGATGGAGCCTGCAACCCAGGCATGTGCCCTGACCGAGAATCGAACTGTGACTCCTGGTTTGTGGACTGACATTCAACCACTGAGCCGCACTGGCTGGGCTATTGTATGTTTTTAAGAGTCAGAATGTTATGAGAGGATGACATGATTCAGTCTGTGTTTTTGTCAGGTAGCTGATGGCCATGGGAAGGATCCATGAGAAAGTTGAGAGACTGGCAATAGACTAACTGACTGCAAGCAGATTGGAAACAAAGATCAGTAAGAAGACTATGCAAATCACCTAAGCAGTGGGAATGGCAGGGAAAGGCAGGTACACTGATGGGACAGTGGGGAGATAGAAATGATAGGACTTGGTGATGACCGAGGGAGAAAGAAGACTTGATAATTGGGTTTTCTCATCTGGGTTATATAGAGAGAAGAGGGGACTGTTACAGTCTGAATGTATCCTCTCAAAATTCGTATATTAAAATCTTAACCCCCAAAGATAATGGCATTAGATGGGCCTTTGGGAGGTGCTTAAGTCTCAAGGGTGAAGCCCTCATGGTTGAGGTAAGTTCCTTATAAAAGAGGCTCCAGAGAGATTCCTAGTCCCTCCTGCCACGTGAGGCCAGAAGGAGAAGTCTCCCACCTGGAAGAGGGCCCTCACCCAACCATGCTGGTGCCATGATCTTGGACTTGCAGCCTCCAGAACAGCGGGAAATATATATTTATTGTTTATAAACTACCCAATCTCTGCTATTTCCTTATAGCAGCTTGAATGGACTAAGTCGGGGCCAAGAGAAGGAACACAGGAAGAAGGGCTTTGCACCTTTCTTTTAATAAAGGGAAGATGATGAGTTGAGTGTCAGATAGATTGAACTTGATGGGTCTATGGGACAGCTATGGAGAGAATTCCAGCCATCATTTGCAAATACATGCTTGGAGTTAAGAGCTAAAGAAGTAATTAAGAATTCAGCCACATAGAGGAACTAATGAAAGCTTTGGGACCGGATATCATCAACCAGAAAGAGAGCTGTGCGGGTCATTTATAGGCCTTTAGAAAAAGAGAGGGCCAGGTTAGACCTTGAGAGATGCTTACATGAATGAACACCAGAGGAAGAGCGTTCAAGAAATAATATAAAGTCCTAACAATATAGGGCCTCATTAGTTAAACCTAGTCCTCCTGCCCTGAGTCTGATTCTTCTTTAGTACAGAACAGTGACTCATCTGAGTGTAACCTGTTTGGTGTCCATCTGAGAAGTAAAGAAAATAGGTAGTTTTCCTCTGCATGTCCCTTAAGGCAGTGTTTCTCAAACGTTTTTGATGATTGACCATGATCCACAGTGGAACACATTTTACACAGACATATATAATCATGTAACTAAAACAAGTGGTTTTATGAAACAGTATTTACCCGTGTCTTCTGCTATTTTCTATTTTGTTCCATTTCATTGAAAAAGTGCTGTTTGGGTCCCAGTAAGTTAATATCACAACCACTAATACGTGGCTACCTGCAGTGTGAAAGACAGCGAGGTAAGGGGCTGTGGTTTCCGGAAGTCCACTCTCCCTCTAGTGGTTGGCATCTTTCAGGGCAAACTGTCTGCACAGTCTGAGGCCCAGTGGAGAGCTGAACTCCATCTCCAAAGGCTTTCCTTTCATGTAGGGATTTTTAGCTTTGGGAGGAAGTTCTACCAGCAGGGTTGCTGTTGGTCCCAGAGGCTAATAACACTTGATACTAATACTAACAACAACAGCATTATTGAATCAGGCCCTGTACATACATTATTAACACAGTTAAACTCTCCCAATAAGCCTCTGAGGGAAGTGTGATTATTCCCTTCATTTTACAGATGAGAAACACTCAAGCCGAGAGGTACCTTGCTCATGTTCACACAGACAGTCAGTGGTGAAGCTGAGATTAAAAGTCACCCAGTTGGCTTGCAGAGTAGGGACAATAAGCTGTACCTTCTTTGGTCTACCTGGGCCTCTATGGCATCCCCATCCCCGCTGTG